ATATATTTCAATCCTTTTAAGAAAACTTGTATTCCTTCCGGCCTGGTGACATTAGTTTTATCGAGGCCACACTCGGATCACACAATTTGGCTGTATCATCAACATTTTTCACCGACTTCAAAAAGGAGGAGGTTCTCAATTCGAGTGTATGTTTATTTGTATGTTACGCAATATCTTCGCAGATTATCAACTAATTTTGATTATTCTTTTTTTATAATAAAATTTTTATACTCAAGGATGATCCCGTATAAATTTGGCAAAAAAATTCCTCTACTAAGGGTTGCAAATACTTCTTTTTTAGCAATTTGAAGTCGGTTTTTAATTTTTGTTAAAAATTATAACTATATGTTTATTTAAAAGACCTATATTTGACTCTTTTATTCATAAATAACAGAATCTAGGGTTTTTTTTTTATTTTTTCTCAATTTAGAACCTAATGCGTAAATGATAGTATCAAACAACGATGTAGCTACCTATATAGGATATTTTATCAGGTTGCCAGGATGTGACTACAATTATTGAGGGCTGGTCTACACTGCTTATCAAGAATAAGTTACAATTCGAAGCGCTTTCTTCCCTTTCGAAGAACGAAAATACATAATAAGTAACAAAATCAAGGCTGCAAATATTAAAGTTTCTAAGTCGTTATAGTGGCACACATACAGGGTATGCAAATTATGTAGGTATTATTGTAGAATTAAAAAAAACTTTGGTTGAATATAAAATAATAAAAAAGATGACTATATTGCATCGCTATACTATAATTAATAATTATTGGTCATAGTGTAACTATCACGTCCTTTGGTTTTTATATTATTTTATCTTTAACATAAAAGCCCACAACATTTTTATACTATTTCAAAAAATGTTTAACGTTTCAAATATTTCTTCTTACTTCTCTACTTTATACGTAAGACTAAATTACTCCAACTACGGTCATTACCTCGTACGTTAATGTTGAGGACGCAATTTGGAGCCAATCCAGAATTGCATTCGTCGGCTAATCAAGAGCACTAAACTGTTGGTCGCATTTCCACGCCGTATTTCATGTGTAACATGTATTTTCCCTGCAAAATAAGTAATGAAACATTGAGGATTCTTGGTTTGACGAACAATTTACTTTACTTCAGAAAGGTTAACTTGTTGGAAATTTAGTAGATTTCATCAATAATTTTATTGACTTTTTTTCTTTTCGTGATTGAACTTTCAACTATGAATATCAAACGCAGACTAAGAAGAGTATATGTTCTAAGTAATAGTGCTCTGTGGACTCAAGTCGATTCATTTTTCAAGAGAAACCGTTTAACTCTTGGACAAAGGAGTATGATAATTTGTCCAAGATTTAACTAATTGGTGAATAACACTATTTCGACATTCTAATGTCTGGGCTACATAATATACCTAACAGCATTATAAATCTGTAGGCTACACACCTTACCGTTTTAATAATCAATGCCCAAAAAGTATCGATCCCCAGAATTTCGAACAGCTCAGTATTGAAAGAAGTACACAGTGTGTGTTGGCAATTTCTAAATGTCTTAGATATATTTTTTTATTTAATTTGTTAGACACGCAGATTTCAGTCGAGTACGTGGTAAGTGCAGCACTAAAATTAGCAATTAACAATTTTTTAATCAAACCTAGGTTACTCGCGTACTGCAAAATTTGGCCCCTGAGTTACCATGACTCTACCATGGCATTTGTAACTTTGATTCCCAGCTGCAGCTAAAATATGTGTGATTTGGAAACGTTTATTTTTATTATTAATTGAAGGTCTTTTTGATGCGAAAATGGGTAAGGCCATGTTATGGCATCACATAATCATTCAGAAATTAATCAATTTATGGCAGCATATAAGCTCGTTCCAATACAAATACAACTTGTTCAAATACCTAATAAAAAGAGTTTACAGTTTTTATTTATATTTCTCAATATAATATTGATTTAAATGTTAGACAAACATCTATACAGAGAATCCAATCCTCCATTCCATTAGGGTTAATAAATTAAAATATAACTTTCAAATAAATTCGTCGATGTGATAGTCGACTCACCTACTGTAAGTTAATTGTTCTATGTCCATAACCTTCGAGCAAATGCAGGCAATAAGTTGACCAAGTTTTACCGCAATCTGATGAACATTATGGCAGCGCATAAAATACGAACAAACAAACATTAATTTTTATATTTGGCTGTTTATTATTACGAATATAAATCTTTTATTTAATATGTTCTTATATTTTTAAACATTACGACATACAATACACACAACTTAAAATTAAATTCATAACTTAAGTATTTAAACTTTGGTTCTGGGTATGTCTTAATCCAACTAATCTACCATTGAACCTCTTCTTACTCTCCTTCAACTCTCTCTCTCTCTCTCTCTTCTTTCTTTTCTCTTCTCTCCTTCACTTTTTCTTAACAAATCGCCGATAGTCTAAAATTGTGTGTTCTAAAGTATGCTGTGAACTATCATTACAATAGCAGCATGGGGATGATGACAACTTATAAATATAGATATGCCTTATTGCTAACATGGCCGGTAAATGATTGCGTTACAATGTTTGTAAGGTTGATTTGTTTCAATATCTTATACGCTATGACTATATTAGGAAAGAAGTATCTCGTAGTTGTGCTTGTTTTTGCTTCATCATAATTCTCCTGCCATTTTGATTCAGTGTTGCTTCTGGTGGATGTTAAATGACAATAACAACGTGAATAAATCATAAGCCCGTCTTTTCTTTTTAGTTTTTGCGGCATGTTTTGCTAGTTCATCTGCTTTCTCCTTTCAGAGTAGTGCTTCCAAATGCTTTCGTGTAAAAAAAAATTAGAGTCGAAAGCCTTCGCGTAGTCAACGTAGGCTAGTTATAGTGGTCTTTTGTACTCTATATGTTTTTCCACTATTTGTTCTAGGGTATGTATATGTTCGGTTGTAGAGTACCCCTGTCGAAAACCTGCCTGCTCTCCCGGTTGGTTCTTTTCTATAAATGGTTTCATTCTCTTTTCTAGAGCCATTGTAAACAGTTTGTATTACGTTGAAAGTAGGCTGATGGGCCGGTAGTTGTTATTATCAGCAGAGTCTCCCTTCTTGTTTAGTAGAATAATGTGTGATTTGGCCTAGTTCGTAGGTATTTCTTGGACTTCGAGTATCTTATTGAATAGATTTAAGAGGTTTTATCAGTAAACACTTTACTAACTTGAGGGCTTCGTTAAAGATATTATCCGCTCCTGGGCTTTTTTGTAACTTCGGATCTTGTATTTATTATTTGTTAATTAATTATGTCCACAACACTATTTATGTCACTATTTATGTTCGTTGGCTTTAAATGAACTTATACGTCTAGGAAGTGTTATTCTTTAAGTTCGCACCTATTTAGTCCGTACGTAAGCTAAGTTTTTTCAGAAAATAGTGAAAAATGTATCCTTATGGCTGGGCTAGCATTCAAAGAAGACACAATGAGGAACGGCAACGGTATGAGTACGAAATTTATATTATAGAAACTGCTTTTCTTGTATACGGTAGGTATAAGCATAACATAACCTAAATTTTTTCGTTGTAGAGCTGCGAGAAGGATAGCGCATCGCCATATTCGGGACCATTCCAACCCTTTCGACGTGCCTGCAGAGGTTTTTACCAAATTATACAGGCTCTCCAAAAGAACTGCGCATTTTTAGTGGAGTGTCTTCACCAGAATTTAAATCTACAAAGGCAGCACGTAATTCCTGTGCATATCAAAGTTTTGGCTTCACTCCATTTCTTTGGACATGGCGGCTACCAAACAACGGTTGGGCAGGGGGAGTATTTAGGTTTAAGTCAGCCATCTGTAAGCAAATGCTTACAAGAAGTTGCTGATGCAATTATAACTGTTTTATTGAACGGTATGGTGCTATTTCCAGAGACTGAAGAGGAAGGGGCAGAAAATAAACAGAGGTTTTTTCTGCCCTTGCTGCTGTTTTCAACAGCTGGGTTTCCTTCAGTCTTGGGTTTGATAGACTGTAGTCAAATCTCCATTGTTCACCAAAAGACACAGCACTTGTGCCAGCGAGATTATTTTTTAATCGCAAAGGCTTTTATAGTCTTAATTGCCAATTTGTATGTAATGCAAAGATGGAAATTATACATTTCAATGTCACTTTTCCTGGATCAACACATGATGCAGCGGTCTGGCAAGGATCCAGTTTGAGCTAATTATTGGAAACCAATTATGTTAACAGATTTTCAGCTGGTGAATAGCTTCTAGGAGACTCTGGATATGCCCAACTGCCTTGGCTGATAACCCCGTATGCTGATGCGGATGAAAATACACCTGAGGCTAGATATAATTTAGCGCATACTAAAACGAGGGTCCTTATTGAAAAATGTTTTGGAGTGATGAAAACAAGATTTAGATGCATTCACAAGCACAGGACGTTGCATTATGACCCCGTGAAGGCATCTAAAATAATAGCAGCTGTAGTTGTTCTTCATAACATGGCAATTAAGAGGAATGAACCTGAATTGGATGAAACATGAATTGGAACTCGAAGACAGATTGCGGCCAGCAGATGATCTTCCCAGGATATGAATTTTTTAAATGTGGCAAGAAATATTCGAAATAACATCACAATATAATACTTTGCATGATGTGTTTTAATTAAAGATTTAAATTAAATAATTAATAAAACTTAATTTCGAAAAAATAGTTTATTTATTTTTATTGATCGCTTCGATGAACATGTTAGCGGCACGCATTATGCAATCGCCAAAATACCGAGCGGCCTCTGTCTGCGCATTGGCGAGCGCCATCTGCGCTTGGGCTCCCTCCCTTAAAGCCGCTATCATGGCATCTTCTTGCGGGGTGGCTGAATCGGCTGGCGGCACGAGCGTACGGGGCGTTGCTCGACGCGCGTTTCGGCGCTCGAGGCGCGGAGTGTTGCGCACCACGCCGTCCTCCAGTCTCTGTTCAGGGGTTGAGGCCACGATGTGTTCACGACTGCAACTGATCGTCGCCAGACCCCTATTTGCCGCTGGCATCATCAACGCGTCTACCAACGCGAGATGCTGTCGGTATTGATGACGCGTCCGTCACCATTGAAGTGACGACAGTCGCCCCATCGTGACTCGCCGTCGGTGTCAACGCGTCCACCATAGCCGCTTCCTTCGGGAGCTCTTCTTCAGTGTCTGAATGTATATCCTGCATAGTACAATTACAAGGATAAATTCATACAATTGTACCACTATGAAGTCAATTTCAGAATACCATTATGCATAAAACTCTTTTTAACATGACTTCAGTATTTATTACTCATACCATTAATAATGCGGTTATTCTATAATTACCAAAATTGACCATAACGCTTAATGAAAATTACATCAAAATCTAATCAGTAGAACTCAAGTCATAATAAGGGCACTGTTTAAACTTATTTATAAAACTAACAAATCTTATTTGTATGTATATAATAATGTTGTTGTGAATAGGTAAAATATACTCACAACTGTTACTGCGTCTAAAATCAATGTCTGCTTTGGCTTTGGCAGTTGAGTATCATCCAAAACCTGTAGTCAAAATAAAATCAACTTAACATCAGACCATTACTGGTAATAAATATCACAACTGCTACAAGCATTGCCATAACACACTCACCATGACTATGTTTTGTTTAACATGAGGATCCGGAACATCAACAATGGGCTGTGGAGTCCCTGTGACAATAATAATACCCTGTAAGAAATTTACAAGTCAAGGATCAAGGTTTTCCCTTCATATTATAAAAGGACATCTTTATAATATTAATGCTATGTAATGTATGTAGTTTTCAAAATTAACATAATTGTGATGATTGATGCAATCATGATAAAATAAGTAAATCTAATATAGAGCTTACAAAAACTAATGCCAATAACTTACAGCTTCCACAGCTCCAGGCAATCCATATATAGTTGATGTCCCCTCTATATTTATTGTTTTTTTCTCCAGTTCTGTCAAGCAGATATATGCTGGAGGACCACCTCCAGTCCTTTGCATAGATGCACGCTGTGTGCGCATCTTAGCCTTCGCCCTGCGTGCTAATAACTTGTATGTCTGAAAAATTTAGATTATACATTTAACAACAACTAATATCCAAGTGGGTAAAGTAGGTTGGTTATGATTTAAATTTTAAAAGTTCACTGATATATTTAGTACAAAATTAGGACAATTTAATGTATGAAGCACCACTAACTAACCTCTAACCAATCTTTCTGTGTCTTACGAACACCTCCCATTCCATTGAGGGCTTCTGTCAGTTCAGTCCACAATCTTTTGGTAGCCGGCAACTGAGAATTTCCTGTAGATAAATAAAGACAAATGAAGTATATGTAAGTATAAAAACATCATGTTTTATTGGATGCCAATTATTTATATTATATGTTGTGTTATAATTTAACGTGAATAAATGATTGTGAATGTAATAACAAACGTTGCAATGCGATATGACTACCAAACTGAATTTACACAGGAATGCTTGTAGATAGGATAAGTTAGAGTGCAATGTATGATTATGATCAAATTTAAAATGAACTTGCTATTCTGTAAATAGATGGATGGATGAGTAGGTTAAATCGATAGATTAAAATATAACAATTTACACTACTAAAACAAAAAATCACATGGAATATTTTGTAAACATACCATTAACCGTTTCATGATTCCTCATCAAAAAGTTTAATAAATATTGTTGCTGTTCTTTCTTCATTCTTGGCTTCTTTGTATCCATATTTATTAAAATTTAAATAATTTTTTGCGAAAAATCACACAAAAAATAACCACGACAGACTTGACAACTTGACAGACTAGTGGTGTGGTGTTGCCATTTGCGGCGGCAAATGAACGTAATTATGTCCATTTTCATAGACGTGGAATTAAGTTCAAATTTAGTGACGTGAACTTATTTTAACAGAAACGTAATAGCTTTAGGTTAAGGACATGGACATGTTTAGTAAAATTTTAGTCTGTCATTATTTAGGTTCGAAGAGAAACGCAATCGGACCCAATACGTAACTTGATATTGTCATACTAAAGTAATTTTAAGAAAAAATAATGTTTTTTTTTTAAATAAGTAAATCTCGCGACAAGCTATATTTGCGTAATGTAATAAATTGATGGTTTTGATTTAATTTAAAGTTTATTTTCTTCTTTAATACCATTTAAATAAAGGCTTGTTTTTAAAAATGATTTTACACTATTAATTAGTTTGTTTTAATAATGATTTAGTTTATTTATAAACAAAGCATTTGTAATTATTTTAATATATTTACATATGATTACATATTATAGAATTAAATATTTCGCAAAAAGCCAAGCAGTAGAAACGATAGGCAAGAGCTTAGAATGCACGTGCACCTCATTTCCTCCAAACGGTGTCAATTTTAATTTTTATTAAAATACAAATTTCAAAAAATTGGATTAAGGAATATTAAAGTCTCGAATGAAGTATATTTAAATTTAAAATTTTATCCAAATCATTATAAACACCAAATAACCTTAACACTTAAGTATAAACTGATCAATAGAAGAATCATTAAAATCAGTTTACAGTTTATAAAGATATATAAAGTAATATAGATACAAAAGAAAATAACACACTCGAATTGAGATCCTCGCCCTTTTTTAGTCGATTAAAATGAAGTATTTGCATAACGTTTTCCGAGTGAGCCATCCTGCATTTGGCGAATGTAAAAACCGAAATTTTTTTTGAAAGAGACAAGATGGATTCGTATTTGTTTGCACGGGTTTACGAACACCTCTCTTCGTATCAAGTAGTCTTATATGGCAAGGAATATGCCTTTAGCCTATAACTCAAAATCAAAGCATAAGTTCGTATGGTCGTTCAGCGAGAAATGGAAAGAATTATAGTCGGAACTCCTCTGAGAGAAAATATTTGTTAAAAAAGGGAAATTCACTGGATAATTTTTTCTGGCAGCAATTTTTGTTCGTTCGCAAGGACTTGTGGCTAACAAAATGTGCTTTAATATATTTTGTTGTGATGAGATGAAATGTAATAAGCCTGTTTCTTCATTCAACTACTTGATGAATGATAAAAACCCAAATTTTCTTCAGCGGCTCTTAGTATTTCTTTAATTAAACTAAAGTTAAAAATAAACTTAAAAAAAGGTGTGTGGTGTCTACTGCAGTCTGTGGACATCTACAGCTGACTTCATACAAAGAAGGTTTGTCACCATGAGAACTAAGATGGAATGCCTCGCAATCTCTTATTATACTGGCTCTCCATACTCTTCAAACCGGTACAGCGCACCACTATTTGGCAGCAGAAACAGGTACGCAGACGGATTCTTAGACAGAAAAGAAGTCCTAACAACTTGTATTTGTCCATGTGCAATAATTTATGTATGTAAATTGCGTTATGATACAAGAGAAAATCCTGGTGTAGAGTCAATAAACTGAGGTTTCTTTTAATAAAATGAACGTGCAAGTTGACAATAAAGTAAAGCCAAAAGTGTACCAAAACTTCGGCACTTTTTAAGTATCGGAGTAAATTAAAATAAATGTGATAAAACCACGTAAAATCACACGTATTTTCAATTATTAAAACTACTTTTACGGGTTTTATCGCGTTTAATTTTAATTATTTTTATTTTTAATTCCCGACGTTTCGGGTGCTTTCCAGCACCCATGGTTACGGGGGACTGAGGTGATTGATGTCCAGATGTCATTATTAATCCCGGAGTACTTTCAGCTTTTTTAATTATTGTTTATGGTCTAAATAATAAATAATTAAAAAAGCTGAAGGTACTCCTCCGGGTTTAACAATGACATCGAGACGTCAGTCACCTCAGTCCCCCGTGACCATGGGTGCTGGAAAGCACCCGAAACGTCGGGATTTAAAAAAAATAATTAAAATTAAAATTAAACGTGACAAAATCCGTAAAAAGTAGTTTTAATCAATGTGTAGTGTTCACGTAAATATAAGAAATCATTATGTATTTTCAAGTTTATTTTTATATAGAACGCTAAAAAAAACATTGCGTAGGACTATTTTAATTTGTTTTATTGCAATAAGCTTCGTTCTTTTCTTCGAATAATATAAACGTTTTCTCTCCAAGGTATTTACGAGTATCCGTTAAGGTTTCAAGGGAATAGCTTGATCGATAGTCAAACTATCCTCGCCTCGATATTCGTTTGGCGAATATATATGAAAGTGTTATAAGTTATTTCAAGTTTGTGTGATTTATCGTTAACACGAATATACCTTACACAAATTTAAAAATAACTAAATAGGTTTTTTTTGACACAAACCTATTAATATTACAGGACTTTTTCTAATCCTGAAGGTGGGGATCAAAAGAGCCGGTAAAGAACGTTTCTTCTTCGGAAAAGACCACTGCCGCCCCACTCGCTTAAATGGCTAACACCAAGTAGAGGGTCCTTCAGGCAAATCTTTATAAAATTTCCAGCGATTCCACTTTTTATATTTTACATCAAATGAGAAAGCAATTTTAGGATTAATCAATAAAGTAAATAAGTAATTTTTTTAATAAGTAAGAATGACATATGATCTCGCAGTTCACTGATGGTAAGCAGATACTGTGGCCTATATACACCTACACCTATCGTCGATTAAAAATCAAAGTGCAAATTGCGTCGTTACCAGAAGTCAGTACCAGTAGTATCTCCAAACGCCGTTACTCATTAATTTACCATATAAAATACGATAGCATTAGGATGTTATTTCATGCTAGTAGTGTGGTACTGCGCGAGTGTGGTCTTTCTCCGGTCAAACCGAACCATTTATGATGCAGCCCTAATCCGCTATTATGGCTGCACATAATAATTTGCAGCGTGGCTCTACCACGACTTAAATTTTTATATTCATTTTATTGTATAGACAAACGAGCGCACAATATGTTGGTAGGTAGACACTTCGGCCCATAAACGCCAACATCTATCCTCGAATATGAATCAAAATGTAGACAACGCAATTTAATGCCTAGTTACCCCTAAAAAGTGTCTCTAGTTCTATACGCTCCCAATACGAAACACAGCTGTAATAAGCTACTATTTCACGCTGGTTATATGTGAAATGAAGAAGTAAACTTGTGGTGACGGTGTAAGAACATCCATTACCTCATATCGTCCCGAGGGTGTCGTAAGAGGTGACAGAGGGAAATTGAAACAGGGGATGCAGCATCTTCCTCATAACAACTCAAAATAATAAAAATAAAAATCCCACTTTTCAAGCCTGGCAACTAGGACAAAATCTCCCCATAAGGAAATCTAATATATAAAATAGCGTGTAGTTTTTTTTAATATAAAAGAAATGAATGGACGAATTCCAGTAGTGTATTTCGTTGACTTTATATTAATATGTTAAAAGTCATTTCAAGCATCGCCGCTAATCTTAATGGAAAACGCTTGTGATTGAACAAAATAGCGTAAACTTTTAGCATGTATCGGATAGAGCTTTTATCCAACAAAATAATCATCGATTTACTAAACCACGGAATCCATGATACAAATTTAGAATGAAGAAATGGATAAAATTCTTAAGAGATATTAAATATATATATATATATATATATATATATATATATATATATATATATATATATATATATATATATATATATATATATATATATATATATATATATATATAACTAATTGCCTAAAAATTCAGAAATGAAAACGGACTTAGAAACTATGTTTATTTTGAAGAAGAGAGCCATTTTTAACCTAGACTATACGCTTTTATAACAAAGTCTAGTTAAGGTGATCGCGATCAAGTTGTTTCTCAAGTAGGTTTTATAAGTAGTTTTGCTGTTAGAAACAAATAAGGCGGACAAAAAGATATGAAAAATTTTAAATGCAATAGTTTTCAGTGTACCGCAATACGTGACTATGGGTAATATCAGATCAGTCTTATGGCTGTGGCAGAAAAAGTGGAGACCGCTTCGGTGTATGTCGCTTGTGGCGCGATGAAAACGCCGTCATAGACAGATAGCGGTATAATCATTAAGTTTATCCCAGACGTAAAATACTCCGATAGTCAAGGGCAGCTGCGTCGAGGTTGCTAAAGTTGCTAGGATTACGGCAATTACTTCTTACAATGAGAGAGGTTCATATGCCCAGCTGTGGACTGTTGCCGGCTATTAAAGAAATAGACGTCCATTCTGAGTTTGATATTAAGTACCTAATATACAACTATAGTATGTTGGGAGCACTAAGATCGAAGTTGTTGACGTTTACCTGGGACAAGTAGTCCGGCTAGGTAAGTCCAACTTCGACCGAGAGGTCAATCGACGGATTCAACTCGGCTGGGCAGCGTTCGGGAAATTACGACACATCTTCTCGTCAGGTATACCTCAAAACCTGAAAACTAAGTTGTACAACCAGTGCGTGTTGCCAGTGATGACATATGAAACTGAGACGTGGTCCTTCACTGCTGGCCGTATGAGGACGCTCAAAGTTGCTCAGCGAGCTATGAAGAGGTTTATGCTCGGGGTTTCTCTGCGTGATAAACTTAGAAATGAGGATATCCGCAGTAGAACCAGAGTGACCGACATAGCCCAACGGATTAGTAAGCTGAAGTGGCAACGAGCTCGAAGAACCGATAACCGATGGGGAAGAAAGGTTCTCGAGTGGCAGCCTCGTACCGGTAGGCGTAGTGTAGGGCGACCCCCCACAAGATGGAGTGACGACCTGGTAAGACATGCAAGAAGACGATGGATGCAGGTGGCTCAGGACTGTGCTTTGTGG